TTATTATTATTATTATTATTATTATTATTAGAATAACAAATGAAAAATTGATTTTGCGCTCTGAGTCTGTAGTTCTCATGCCCAGCGGGAAGAACTTGAACAGAACAAGAGGACAAATCCAGAATTCATTTGCCAAGAAGACATAAGTGATCTCGAATGTTTCTTTGCTCCTAATAAGTTTCATAGTTACATTAAACCACGAGGAAAGCATTAAAAAGGGTCAGGAAGTCGACCCAAATGACTAGGTGTTTTAAATATATATATATATTCATAGCTAAAACTATTAATAACTAGGACTGCTAACTCGACCTTTTTAATTCACTCTTCCTGTTTAGTGCTCTTTAAGTAAATTTCAACATGCAGATGAGCTGTCACTCACGACATCTATCTGCGAATCAAAATGTAGCGTATTCAAATAGAAGTTGAATAAATACATTTGTGAGACAAACTAACTTCTTTCATGAGGAAAATTCTAGCACTCTTGATTCTTACATCGACCAAACAACAAAAAATTTTTAAATGTGATTGATTGTGATTAGTGCGGGGATGGGGGAGGGGGGAGGGGGGGGAGCTTTCAGGATATATTTGAAAGGTTCATTTAATTTTTCAATTAGCATTAAATTACTTTGTGATAACCAAACAATCAAGAGGTTTGAATAGAAAACAATCAATATAAGCACATTTTTTTCTTTTGAAAATATCTTTTTGTGGGTGGAGATCAAGGATGCGTAGCACTTAAATTAGAATGCCTCGTTTATCTGTCTACTTTCAAATAACTTTTACTTGCCCACATTCATTATATTTTTTTCTATCTTACGTAACGCTTATGATCCGCCTCGCATTCGCTTACTTTCAAAGGGTTTTATTGATCTACATTTAGTATATTTTTTTCATATTTTCACCTTTCCAACCCTCTGCCTTGAGGGTTGAATTGACCTCGTGGCGAGCAGCCACCGAATTTCTCTCTCATCCAACGATTATTTTAGTAAGGATTAAGTCCACTTGATACTCACTCGATAAATAAGCTTTATATGTATATATATATATCACTTATCGGTGGACAAATCTAAAGATTTGAAAATAGAGTTTTTGATTTTAAAAAATATGGTTTTCCTTAGGCATGCAGTCGTGAAGGACTTGCAGAAACGTCAAGCTTGAAATTTTGGGTAGAACCCCAACATGAACTCGACGCGAAAAGGCTAAAAATTTGAGATGGCAAGCAAGTAGAAGCTTGGATTAGTTCTAGACAAAAATCATTATAGTTGATGCCCACTCACTGTAGACTAGGAATTAAAATATATGATGATGAACTTGAATATGAATCAAGATCATTCTGTTTCTTTACAGAGAAGTATTTTTAGCAGTTTTAAAAGATGTATATATTTTTCCTTTTCTTTAGGTTTACTTTCATATTTTTCAAAACTGAAAGAGCCAAATTCAATCGCGTTTAAAAACTTGGTTACTTCACACGAGAAAACAGTAGATCATGTTTAAACAGTTGAAATGGTGAATTTGAAAATAATTTCGTATCCAGTTTTCCTATATTTTACATTAACGTGAGCCACATACTAAATGAATCCTTTTCCATAGTGAAAAAAGCAGTACGCGTATGAAATATCAAACTACTTATGAGGAGTGCTAATTCTTAACGAAGTGGTTTGAGTTCCTTACGAACGTGGAAGGATTCTGGCCGTCTTACTCTAAGCACTTCCTCTCAATTTTCTTCATCAGGAGGACATTTTAATATTATGGAAGAGCGGCGTTGTATGATATGAAAGCTTTTCTCTTTATTACAGCTTGTTTTCATCAAAAATATCGTTATTAAAAATGAACTTAAAATAGGGATTTTATAGCCGGAATGCGTGAGAAGAGGTGTGCTGTCCTTTCAACTTGGAGTAAATTCATAATTTGTCGCGTGCCTTTGATGTTTGTTTAAGGATTTTAGTATTTTTGATCATGAAATATTAAGAACTAATTAACAGCTGTTTTCAACGTAGCTTCGATGAAAAATTGCTTTTTTTGCAAGTAAATATCATAAACTTTTATCTCGGAAAACCACCTAAATATTTGGTTGAAATCTTTGCTCTCAAACCTTTTAAGTGCGACGTACCAAACAGGATTTTGTTCTGTACATGCAAAAATCCAGGAACTCGTTTTTCACTGTTTCTACTAAAAAATATGAAATTTGAATTGATTGAGCCTGAGAGAGGAAGCATGAAAACCGTTATAATTATGAAAAGGAAGTATAGTTTTATAGCCAAAAGAGAGCTTTGACGGCTCGTTTTTTTAACCTGACATCTAACTCCTCGAAGTTAGTAGAACTTAATTGAAACTCAAAAATCAAAAACTCGTAATTAAAACTTTAATTTTTCTCTTCCTAAATTTGATTAATTCCTCAATAGCTGAAGGCATTGTTTAAGGACTCAACCTATTCATTAGATCCCTCCAGAATGAACTAAGAAAACACCGTCCAGTCTTAACAGAAGTGAAATCTTAAAGAAGTAATCTGTGGTCGCTAATTTTGACCGTCACTTCTCAGTGGCTGTCTGAGATGACGTTTTACTCCGTAAGCGACATCAAACTATACTTCAAGTGTTAATAACTACGTTGATCCTCTTTTCGCTGTGTCAACGAATCAACTGCCTCTTTAAAACCGACGGAAATATAGACAAAACACCGCTAAATACAATATATAAATATTGACTCTTGGTCTTTGTATTCAAATCGTTTGTTTACGATAAAAAGGGACGTTGAAGTGGAGTTGAGTGCATTAGTGACCGACTACCCGACGAGCAGACCTAAGGAATCAGACGAATCATAGCTCGGGACACAGTTTTTCAAAGCTTTCAGCATGGTACAAAGAAACGTAGCTGTTTTTTGCTCCGTCTTGTTGTTGTTATGCTTATTGTTAGGAAGTTCGGAAGGATTTATCGCTGGTGTGTCGACTAAAGACGGAAAGCGATCAACACTGATCAAGGTACGTAGAGTGAAAGTCATTATTGGTAGCTTACTTTTCACTACGAGAATTTTGGTGATAAAATAGTAACGAAGAATTAAAATAAGAAAAGAAAACAAGGAAGGAAAAAGGAAAGAAAGAAATAACGAAAGAAAACTAATAGCAAGAAATGAAAAAGTGTTAAATATTTCAAAGTTCGTTCTAGAATATCATTGATAAAAGACCGAGAGCCAATACCATTAACAAGCCGATTGAGCGTGTAGCAATCAAGCCAGGAGAAACAAGCAATCAATCAAGTTTACAAGCACTGTACATTAAGTCTTTTCGAACAAGTGAACAGCAATCAGAGAGCTATAAAATGAAGATATACTTAACTTATGATGATTGAACAAAGCACGGAACCAGCCAGTGATGTTCCAAGATAAACAAAAATTTCCCATCGTGAAAATTTGAGACGATCCTTTCAAATATACTCGTAAATTCTAAAATCCTTACAAGTGCTAAACATGTGAAGTTTTTACTAAGGGAAAAGTCTGCAAAGGTCTTAAAGGTGCACACAGCGAGATGAAATCATTTGGGGGAAAAACATTGTCTTCTATAGATAATATACGAAAAAATCATGGAAGTGTCTAGAACGTTTTGATGTAGGTTAACAAGCTAGCTATTGATTACTATTTATGACCATGGACGTGTGATTGTTTGAAACCCGACTACCATCCATCCATCCACCCACCCACCCATCTATCCATCCATCCATTCCGTCCATCCATCCATCCATCCATTCCCGTCGACATCATAAAAACACAATTATTGCTAAACTAAGTGTTTGATTGACTCCGACGAAGGACTAACGTCCGAAACGTCAGTTCCTATTTTCACTACGGTGTATAACTTATCAATCTACGATAAGTGTTTGTAAGTTTGTCCATATACATTTATACAGAAATTCCATCCAAATCTCATGAAAAACCATTTAGAGTTATCAATTCCTAATCGATTCATGATAATTGACAGCTTATGACTGATC